GCTCACGAGTTAAACTCAACAAGCCACCGAGTCGAGCTAGCTCGCGAGCTCCGCGATCTACAGAAGCCTAAGCTAGTAAGCTCCAACTCAACTCATTAGTAAACGAGTTGAGTTTCGAACAAGATTTTTCCAAGTCGAACACCAAACCGCTCGACTCATTTGCAACCCTACTTCCATCCAACTTCCGTCTATTCTGTTGATATGACTTGAATCGGATTATCAGCCGCTACGACTGGTAATCGGGGGTCTCGCATGGGCTCAATGTTATTTGGGTTCGGGTTCTGGGCCTGGTCTGTAACCGTTTCCTTTGCTAGATTGGATTAGGTTTAGACCCACATGGAGAAGTACTATAAATACTTCTCATACTCCTCTGTAATCTGTAATCTCCTCAGTATAGTGAAACTGGCTCTCTCTCGCCCGTGGACTAGCTAACACACATCGTGTTAGTGAACCACGTAAATCGTGTGTCTGTGTTCTTTCGATTCTCGCTCTCGTATTCTTGCTTTATCGATTCCGGCAATTTCCCGATCCGTAGCAGCGCGTTTATAACAAGTGGTATCAGAGCCGCGGCTGGAAATCAGGCTAGGGTTTTCGATTCAGAAGAATGACGTCGGTGAATATGAAGATCGAAAAGTTCACGGGGAAGAACAGCTTCGCTATATGGCAGATCAAGATGCAGGCTTTATTGAAACAGCTAGGGCTGTGGGGGCCGCTGTCTGCGAAACAGAAAAAGGCAGCGGTCGATGACGATGAGTGGAATACCCTGGAGGAGAAGGCCCACTCGACCATCATGCTATCGTTGTCTGATGACGTCATCATTGAAGTCGCTGCTGAGAAGACTGCCGCGGGCTTGTGGTTGAAACTAGAGAGTCTGTACATGACTAAGTCTCTAACCAACAAGCTGCATCTCAAGCAACGGTTGTTCAGCTTGAGGATGCAAGAAGGTACGCCTTTGAGGGAACATCTCGAACAGCTTAACTCTATTTTGCTGGATCTGCGTAATATAGATGTTCAAGTTGATGACGAGGATGCTGACCTAATCCTGCTGGTTTCTTTGCCGAGTTCATATGAGAACTTTGTTGATTCTTTTATTGCTGGTAAAGAAAGCGTGTCGTTGGAGGATGTCAGGTCTGCTCTTCATACGAGAGAGATCAGACATAAGGCGTCCGGATCTGGTACAGGTGGTGAGGCATCGGGTTTGGCTGTTACAGGTGGAAAGGGAAAGAAGAAATCTGGTAAAGGGAATTCGAGCAAGAATTCCAAGGGTCCCGGTCCACAGCCAGGTGATGCTTGTCACAACTGTAAGGAAGTGGGGCATTGGAAGTACAACTGTCCCAAGAGAAGAGGGCAACAGAAGAAATAAGGTTCAGTTGCCGTGGCAGAAGTGGACAACAGTTCTGAAGACGATCTCGCCTTGGCTGTAGATGAGAAGGCACATCGTGGTGATGTGTGGTTTCTGGATACTGCAGCCTCATACCATATGTCTCCGAACAGGGATTGCTTCACAACCTACGAGCAGATAGATGGTGGTAACGTGGTCATGGCTAATGGAGCTGTCTGCAAGGTTGTTGGAATCGGGTCCATAAAGGTTCGGACACATGATGGTTCGTTCTGTACCGTGAATGATGTCAGGCATGTTCCACGAATGACGAAGAACCTGATCTCCTTGAGTCTACTCGACAGCAAGGGCTTCAGCTTCAAATGAAAAGGTGGAGTTGTGTATGTCTGCAAGGGTTCGAGGAAGGTACTGAAGGGCGTGAAGCGTGGGACCTTGTATGCATTACAAGGGTCTGTGTTGTCTGGTTCTGCTGCAGTTGCATCGTCTCAGGTTCAACAGGAGGATATGACCACTCTCTGGCACATGAGACTGGGGCATATGAGTGAACGAGGGATGCAAGTTCTATCAAAGAGGGATCTTCTTTGCGGGCACAAGGTGCAGAATTTGGAATTCTGTGAGCATTGTGTGTTTGGGAAGCTACATCGCAGCAAGTTTCCCAAGAAGGGTATCCACCGGACGAAGGGGATACTAGATTACCTCCACTCCGACTGTTGGGGTCCTTCACGAGTTGAATCCATTGGAGGCAGCAGGTATTTTCTGTCTATTATTGATGATTATTCGAGATTTACTTGGATTTTCATGATGAAGCAGAAAAGTGAGGCTTTCACGAAGTTCAAGCAGTGGAAGACATTGGTGGAGAATCAGACCGGGAAGAAGATCAAGAAGCTGCGAACGGACAATGGTCTGGAGTTCTGCAGTTCTGAGTTCAACGAATTCTGCAAGGATGAAGGGATTGCCCGTCATCGGACTGTTAGAGATACACCTCAGCAGAATGGCATTGCAGAAAGAATGAACAAGACATTGTTGGAGAGAGCACGGTGCATGCTCTCTAATGCTGGACTAGAGAGAAGATTCTGGGCAGAAGCAGTAAACATGGCGTGCTTCCTGATCAACCGTGGACCTCACACAGGTATCGAGTGTAAGACTCCTTATGAGGTGTGGTATGGTAAGCCTGCTGATTACTCTTCACTGAAAGTTTTTGGGTGTCCTGTTTATTATCATGTGGATGAGGGTAAGCTGAACCCAAGGGCAAAGAAGGGTGTATTTGTGGGTTACGGAGATGGAGTTAAGGGATTTCGAGTCTGGTCACCTTCTGAGCATCGAGTTATACTTAGTAGAAATGTGATATTTGATGAGAAGTCTATGTTTAACCCCATGTTGAAGGTTACTGTTGTTGAAGGTAGCAGGAATGTTGATAAACAGGTGGAGCTGCAAACTCTCAATGAGAGTGAGTTTGAGCACCAAGGTGGAGAAGATCAACATGATGAGGATGTCTCTGCAGAGCCAGAAATTTCAGAGTCCAGAGCACGAGCTCAACCGTCTATTGCTTCCGGTAGACCGAAGAGAGCGACTGCAGGAGTACCTCCACAGAGGTATGGCTTCGAGGACATGGTGGCGTATTCATTTCAGGTTGCTGAAGAAGTGGATGCAGGAGAGCCACAGTCCTATAGAGAAGCAGTTTCGGGTGGTGAAGCTGATCAGTGGCTTGCCGCAATGGGAGATGAGATGGAATCCCATGACAGAAATCAGACTTGGGAGCTAGTCAAACGACCACAGGGAAGGAAGATTGTTACAAACAAGTGGATCTACAAGAAGAAGGAAGGAATCACTTCTAAAGAGGGCATGAAATTTAAAGCTCGGGTGGTTGCACGAGGCTTCTCGCAGAGGGAAGGAGTTGACTACAATGAGATTTTCTCACCAGTGGTCAGACATACTTCGATCAGAGTGCTACTAGCAATAGTGGCACATTATGACTTGGAGCTCGAGCAGCTAGACGTGAAGACAGCTTTCCTACATGGAGAGTTGGAGGAAGAAATTTACATGACTCAGCCAGAAGGATTCGAGGTTCCGGGAAAAGAAGACTATGTTTGTAAGCTGAAGAAGTCCTTGTATGGACTTAAGCAATCTCCGAGGCAGTGGTACAAGAGATTTGACAGTTACATGCTTGAGCTGGGCTACAACAGAAGTCCATATGATTGTTGTGTATATCACAGCAAGGCAGAGGATGGTTCGATGATATATCTAGTTCTGTATGTGGATGATATGCTCATAGCTGCGAGGTCAAAGTCTGATATCCAGAAGTTAAAGGGGCTTCTCAGTGCTGAGTTTGAGATGAAGGATTTGGGAGCTGCTCAGAAGATCTTGGGTATGGAGATTTACAGGGACAGGTCGAAGAAGAAGCTTTTCTTGTCACAGAAGAGCTACATCCAGAAGATACTGTCGAGGTTTGGCATGTCTTCAGCAAAGCCCTTAAATACTCCTAGTGCTTCAAATGTTCATCTATCCTCGGCTTATGCACCGCAGTCAGAGGCTGAGAAGGAGTACATGTCGAGAGTCCCATATGCTAGTGCAGTAGGTAGCTTGATGTACGCTATGGTATGCACTAGACCTGATCTTGCACATGTTGTTAGTGTTGTCAGTAGGTTTATGATACAACCTGGGAAGGAGCATTGGCAGGCTGTGAAGAGGATCTTCCGGTACCTTAAGGGTACACCTGATGTGGGGATTAGCTTCGGAAGTGATACAGAGTGCTTGGTGTCTGGGTATTCTGACTCGGACTATGCTGGAGATGTTGACACAAGGAGATCAATGACTGGTTATGTATTCACTCTTGGGAGTTCTGTAGTGAGCTGGAAGGCAACTTTGCAGTCGGCGGTGACATTGTCTACTACTGAGGCAGAGTATATGGCGTTGACAGAAGCTGCTAAGGAGGGAATATGGTTGAAGGGACTGGTTGGTGATCTTGGTCTACATCATGATCAGGCAGTGGTGTATTGCGACAGTTTGAGTGCAATATGCTTGGCCAAGGATCAAGTCCACCATGAGAGGACTAAGCACATCGACGTGAGGTATCATTTCTTGAGGACAGAGAAGAGGATTAAGGTGAAGAAGGTTGGCACCGCGGATAATCCTGCTGATATGTTCACGAAGCCGGTTCCACATGGCAAGTTCCAACACTGCTTGGACTTGCTGAATGTCTTGAGTGGGTGACTCCGCCCTACGGGGCATTGATGGCGGGAGAGAGAGAAGGAGCAGAGTACATCAGAGATTTCAGAGGAAGAGGATTCAAGTCAAGGTGGAGATTTGTTGATATGACTTGAATCGGATTATCAGCCGCTACGACTGGTAATCGGGGGTCTCGCATGGGCTCAATGTTATTTGGGTTCGGGTTCTGGGCCTGGTCTGTAACCGTTTCCTTTGCTAGATTGGATTAGGTTTAGACCCACATGGAGAAGTACTATAAATACTTCTCATACTCCTCTGTAATCTGTAATCTCCTCAGTATAGTGAAACTGGCTCTCTCTCGCCCGTGGACTAGCTAACACACATCGTGTTAGTGAACCACGTAAATCGTGTGTCTGTGTTGTTTCGATTCTCGCTCTCGTATTCTTGCTTTATCGATTCCGGCAATTTCCCAATCCGTAGCAACGCGTTTATAACATATTCCTTTCCTTTCAGAGCTAATAATTTGAAGATTAATCATTGTCACTTGGCGTCGTTACAAGTTTCAGTGTTTCACTTGGCCAAAACTGCTTATGCAATATTCCCTGGTTAGGCTATGCTCAATGACTTCTATTAATGCAGACTGACACACCCAGATCCCTAATTTTGCTACTGCAGGCAACCCAGATCCCTAAAATTATGATGAGACGGTACCAACCTGTGCTTACAATGAGCCTGCCTGCATATTTATCCCAATTCAGATTGCTGACATGCTGGGAAAATGCATCCTCTATGAACTTATATATAGCCAATGGTCCATCAACAAACAATTGACCAATATTATTACAGTTGCAGGGAATCAGGAGGGCAGGAACCAGAAGACTCCTTCCAGATTTGCTCTAATCTTCGAGTAAACTCTTTCTCCCTCCCCATAATCACAGAGGTATGATCAGCATTCCACACAACATCTAACGTCAGTTGCTTATCATTGTCCCAAAACTTCCTCTTCATATTTACGCTGCACTCCAATGGAACAACAGGGTCCTGATCGCCATGAACCACAAACACCTCCGCTCCGGATCTCGACACCATCTCCAAGAACTCATCCATACATCTAGCCCCGCCACAGATCACATTGTGCATCGTGTGCCACGCCGAATGATGGGTGTGCCTCGTCAAGTCTCGCAGCATGAAATGTACGTTCCTACAGTGCACAAAACAAACATAGCGACACACATTGATCTCTCGATCTTCCACATCCCTATTAACCCAGATTCTATAGATATCAGAATCGATGCTAACCTGCTTCGAGTGAGCAGCATCAGCAACTTCTCCCACGCTCTATGGTGTCTGCAAACCAGGAAGCAGACGCAGCGGCCCAAGTGCTCGTACCACGACATCAATGCCGCCCCAAACATCAGCGGTGGCCAGAGTCTCTTCTTCGCGATCTTCTCAAGTGCTCTCAAACTTGACTCTTCTTCTTCCGATCTCGCTAAGTAAGGCTGCATCAATCATCCATTGGACTCAAACAAATTACTAAGTCAACCTTCAACATTTCCGTTGTTGTCTACCACTTGAGTACAGTAGATGCTTACTTACCGGCGCTACGAGGGTTATGGATTTCACATATCCAGAGTACTTAGCCGCGAGGGCCAAGGCTATAATGCAGCCCATTGAATGGGCGACGATGTGGAAGGACTTGACTTGAAATGGCTTCACAACTGAGTCTTCAATTGTCTCCAAGTGGTCTTGCAGTGTGTAGAGACAATCCATCGGCTTGGGACTTTCACCGAAACCTAAAAGGTCGATTGCAAACATTCTGTAGTTCTGATTTTTGGAGAGATTGGGGAATACAGTTTCAGTCCAGTAGGAGGATGAAGCGAGGAACCCATGTACAAATATCACATTCTCAATCGATTCTCCAGAGCCAGCCGCTGTAGAATGTCAAATTCCAACCACAAGGACATCAATGAAAGAGCACAAACTTTTTTACGTTAATGGGGGTGTTAAGGTATTACTTCAGCAATGAATTACCTGACGAGGACGGCTCTCTAACCACCACATGCAATTTCCGGCCATCACCGTTCTTCGTCCAAGAAACACACGACTCGCACCGACAATCCGACCATCTTCCGGCAGTGGTGCCGCAGTCGTCACTCGACTTCTTGCAATCCACCGGCTGAAGTTTGAGTCTTTTGGACGGAAGACGAGCACCCATCAGCCTAAACACATTTCTTCTGCCCCACATCGTCTCTGAGAGCTGAATCTCGCCTGTAGTTCCGCCATTCCCGTCTCGCTTTTCACAATAGCATGGCTTTTTCCTTTTCCCTTCGAGATACTCGTCGATGAACCTGTAAATTAAGCAGAAAACAGTGTCGAGAAGGTCTAGAAGCAGGAAGACGACGACGGTGAGCACAGAGTGGAGAGCTCCAGCGATGGTTGAAACCCATTTCCCTGCAATAGCCCACACATTGCTCTGCAGAGACATGGATCGGGTAAAAGCTAGAGAATGGTTTTCAATTGGACCAGAAAATAGAGGAACAAAATCACAGGCGACGGTTAACGAGGATGGACTTTCTCGAAGTTTGTCAAACCTGCGATGATTATGAGGCCACGTCACTTGTGGTATCCATGATTATTCAGCCGCCAGGGCAAGTAACAACAAAAAACAATAATGAAGGATCAACTTCTTTACCGTAAAAGGAATCCAAGAACAATGTTACACAACAATACAAGAAGTGGGCGATGATTTTCTCTACAATGTTTTGGCTTCCGTTTTTCTACTGAGAATCATCGCCGCCTTCGTTTCTAGGCGGCTGATCGGAGCTAACAATCGGAAGGTTCCGTCTGTACTGGGTAGATGTCAACCTTCTCTCCAGCGGCGTCTTCCTTTTGCTCACAACGAATCGGTTCACGCCTTTCCGCATCGGCATTATCGACGGGAAATCTTCATCGGGAATCTGGCTTAGCTCCGATATGTCCTTGATTTGAGCCACCCGTTTGAACCACCTCTCCGCTTTAGCCTCCTCCGACATATCCAAAGGATCGGGGTCTGCCTTCACCGCCGAACCTTCCAAGCTCTTCCCACTCCACCCAGATGGTTCACTAATGCTTCCCGCCACGTTCGAACTGGGTTTTGACATATGTCGTACTGAATTTTGCTGGGCACGCATCGAATTTGGTTGATTCTCCGAACCATGAGTTGAGGCTGCATTCGAAGCTCCAGGTCTAGGGTTGCTACCCGAACTCTCCGGTGTCCAACGTGTTGGTTGACCTCTGTTTCCCGACAGATTCATATTTGGCGGGATTTGTGTTGAACTTTGCTGTGCACCAACAAAATTCGGTTGATTTTCAAAACCATGAACCGAGGCTGAATTCGAAACTCCAGTTTTGGGGTTGCCGCCTTGATTCTCCGGATTCCAACCAGATGGTTGACTTCTGCTTCCGGCCGAAGTCAAATTCTGATCTGGCGGGGTTAGCGTTGATGGTTGCTGTGCGCCCATTAAACCAGGAACCCTTGCTGCATCCGAAAATCCAGGTCCGGGATAGCTAGCCGAACTCTCTGGTGTGGAAGAATTGGGAGTTTCAATTGCCTTGTTCTCTGACCCCTGCCCGCTTTGCTGTTGTTGATCAACCTTCTTGGCAAAGTAGTTGGGAGGGAAGGGCACGAAAGGTACATAATTTGTATCGTTTGCTTGCTCCATGGCAGCGCGTCTCTTGTACAGGGGAGAAGTGAGAGACCGATCTTTCTTCATCGGAACTACAAATCTGTTTTCGCCCTTGCGCATTGGCATGATGTCAGGGAAATCATCATCTGCCAACGCACTATCCACGTCTGCCACATTATGTAGCTCTGCAACTTTCTTGAACCAGCTATCAGAATTATCACCTTGTTTGTCCTCGAACACACTCTGCTCACCAGTGCTTGAAGCAGGAGGCCTAAAGTTATCTGAAGAGATGGTAGAAGCGCATGAGATTAGGAATTATCTGAAGTGGCACGCTTGAAAATGTACTTATCTTTTAGAGAAAGTGAAACAAACACATCTGTAATTTCAGTCAGGGATTAGGAGCTTATACCTGTAGGTTGAAGCCTGTTGCTATCATTCCCCGAGGCTTTTTGGTTTTGAGCATTGCTCAGCCTTCTCTCAAGAGGAGTCTTCCTTGTGCTTACATTAAACATATTGCCTCCTTTTCTCAAGGGCATGATTTCAGGGAAATCTTCATCCGGTATAGCACTGTTGATGTCTGAACTATTGTCCATCTGAGACATCTTACTAAACCACCGCTGTGCCTTCTCTTCATTGGCAGCCAAACGGTTATCAATATCACCACCATTTGATTGGGTTCCATATCCAGACTCGAGACCTGGTCCAGAACCCATGGTCCTTAGTGATACTTCTCCGGGGCGCTTGCAGTCACACCTTATGCATACCATATTCCTCCCATAATTGAAGTAATCACATCTACATGAAAGAGTGTCGGATAATAATTTATAAAAAATGAGGATAACCCCAGAGCAAGACGAAATCAAGGCTAAATCTACGAAGAAGCTGCTTACTCAGGACACTCCCACTCTCCCCCAGTAAGCTGTCTCTTCGGGCGTGCTTCTTCACAATCAAGACACTTGATGTTCCTTGCAAAGTTCATAAAATTACACCTGCCCAACAACGGGCAACAACCAATGTCATTTACCAATGAGTTTTACGCTTTAATTCCTCAAAGCACTTCCATACCTTGACACCACCAAAATAAGAATCCAGTGAAGCAAAGCACAACAGATTCAAGACAAAGAACTTACCTTGAACAAATCCAGTCACCTTTCTTCATCTCAACATTTGGTCCAACCGGACTTGGTCCTGGAACATTTCTCTCTAAGAACTGATTTCTCACAGCTGGAGATGGTTGAAAACTAGGAATGCTGTTATAGCTGAACTGGGACAACTGACCCAATATGTTACGAACAGATAACTCAACCTCTTGCTTGCTATCTACGTTCATGTTCCCAAAAGGCATAACATTGCCAGCATAAGTCACTAAGATCTTCATCAAATCAACTGTCTGCGCTCTATCCGCGCTAGGCACCTAAAATATTCATAGTACGATTGTACATTAGCTCTGAAACCGGCAATTCATCGATATTCAATGCTGAGAATCGTTGACTGAATTTTGTACTCACACTTAAACAGAAAGCACCATCGTACATAAAAGCAAGAGATAGCACAATGACAGATAAAACTTACGTTTCTGCTCTGTCCATCCAGAAACAGCTGCATTCTTCTGACCAGCTCCTCACCATTTTTGAACAGCAAAAGAGGCATGCCATTGGTAATTACTGTCGCAATATCTCTTCTGGACAGCAGCCTATAAATTGAAGATACAAACGAAAGGAATGAATTCAAGGTGGATGTAGAATTGAAAAACAGAGAAACAATATGCCTAGAATTGAATTGCTTTCTCGAATGAAAAAAAATTCGGACCCCAAAATCTCAGGCCTGTCACGACCGAAAGCCAAGCAAGCAATGGTAGTTCTCACGAACTCATCAGGCAAATTCGTCGGGTCCACGAACTCTTCAATTTCCGAGTCAATCACCTGGCGATTAAAATACCCCAAAGCAGAGATATTTTGGAGGAAATTGGACCATTCCGGCCACTGATGGAAGACCGGAGGCGGCTGATGTGATGAATTGGACGATTGACCGGCAAAGGTGGCCTGGGCGTAAAATTGGCGCGAGGATTTAGTTCGGAAGGAGGGAGGAAGAGACGGAGTCGAGGATTGAAGGTTGTGACTGCAGCGGATGCGGTGAGGGATGGAAGAGAAGGAGAGCTGACGGCGGCGGTGGCGGCAGGCAAGGCGGAGAAGAGCCGGGCATTGGCGGTGGTGTGGGAGGAGAAGCGGGGAGGAAGAGGTCGTGGAGGTGAGGAGAGTGAATAGCCTGGTGGCGCCGCCCATCTCTCTAGTGTTCAATGGCCGGCGAATGTCATAGAAGCTCCGCCTGGCAAAGTTGATGTCGGCGTACGGTTGTTGACGACGGCACCGGTTTTCGAGCTCTAAAACCCTATCATCTGCTGAGAAGAACGGGATTTCAGCCTCAATTTAGCTGGATAAAATATCTCATCAAATCAGCTAGGGCCGTTTGTTGGTTGGGCTGGCCCATAAAGTAAGGAGCAGTGTGATGGCCCAAACTGCCTGACCAGAAAATGGCTTCACGTTTTGGGCCGCCCAGGAGACAGTATATTGGCTGAATCAATTTGTCTGTATCGATGATGATGAACGGAGCATTCCCCAACAAAGAGGGACTCCACAGAGAAGGAAGATACCTCCCGCAATCGCATTCTCCTGATGCATTGTTCTGTCTCAGTCGGCGATGAGATTTTGGAAGGCTAATTTGTCCACCGGCGATCAAGGAACTATAAAAGGAGTGGGCAAGCCACGTTAATTCCTCACCCTACACACACCATACAAAAAGCAGCTAATAGGGTCATTTGGGAGGAGGAGAGTGTACATAAAGAGCTGAAACAGAAAGAAACAGAGAGCGAAGCAAAAAAAAAGAAAGAAGAAGAAAGAAGGAAAGTATGGATTCCGGATCAAAATTGATGGTGGTGGCAGCTTTCCTGCTCTTAACCATTTCGAGCTTCCTTGTCGTCGACGCGAGGCTTGCAGACACGAGCATCGTCAGGGGACCGGATTGTATCGGTAAGTCAGAGGATCAAGAGTACAACGGCAAAGTGGCTCGTCTCATCAACATATTCGTCGACGAGACGAAAAATGTGCAGCGCAGCCATCACAGCGATTACAGTTACGTTCACAGCTACCCGAATCGTGACAACGGCTCGGTCATCGGAGGCGCTACCTGCGACAGGCACCTTTGGAAGCTGGATTGTTGGGCGTGTTTGGTCACGGCTAAGAACAAACTCAAGAGCAATTGCGAGCATACCCTTGATGCTAGGCTCGAATTGGCAGATTGTTCCATCTGGTACAAAATGATCCAATAACTTTACTCTGTGTTTCTGGATATATTTGTATAAATGTGCGTCTCTCCTTCCCCTACTCTTGTAAGCCCGTTATGTTTTTTGTTTTACCCGTCTGCTGCTTTGGTTGTGTTTGGGTCTATCTTTATCTTATCTTGATTTCCGCATTTAATAAGGTTCCCGAATGTGTGGAACCGGTTACGAGCGGAAACTATCAATACTTGTCTATGATGCATATGTATTTTCAAATTGATGATTAATGAAATCTTACATGACATGTTCATACTAATTATTATGAATATAAATGTCAATTTGCTTCAAATTGTGAGGACATGGAAAACAAGTGGAAGTAGTTGATAACTCAGTTCGAGCACTTCTACTATGCTATATAGCATTAGTATTTTAATGTACAACTTGAAGTTGTACCATAACATTAAATGTATAAGTTTAGGTTGTACCATAAAGGAATTTGTATCATTATGTTATGGTATAACTTTACAACTTGAAGTTGTACCATCACATAGGGTACAAGTTTAAGATGTACCATAAAAGAATTTGTACAAAAAGTATATGTACAATCTGAAGTTGTACCGTAACGTTAAAGGTACAATTTCAAGTTGTACCATAAAAGCAAAAACCTATAGCACCAATGCTATATAGTATTGTAAAATTCCTCAACTCAGTTCATATCAAAACTCAGTTCATATCAAACTAATATATATTAGTAGATATTAAGTGGGTACACTCTACAATGTAATCAAACTAATAACACATGAAGTGAACTTTTACCTAAAATCCTTTTAAATCACCGAATTCTCATCCTTATAAGAAAATGTTGCCTCGTCAAGATTTAACTACTAGGAATTGTTGATCTTGTAGACCCCACATTTTGTACGGGTGAAAAACATATTTAATTAAGTAAAATGGATATGCGTCTCATGTTTGCAATAGTGAATCTTTAGTGGCATTTTAGATAGGGGTGGGATTCGGTCGGTAAACGGTAAATTGTTTACCGAATTTACCGGTTTCGGTATACCGAAACTGACCAAATTGGTTATCGATTACCGATATCGGTTTGTAACCGGTTTACCGATTACTGGTTTTTCGGTCGGTTTACCGAATATTTACCGAATCGAATTTCTGGAAGTGGGGTGATGTTGTAATATTATGATTTTTTTGAGTTTTTTTCATCAATTTTGTAATTAATAATTTATTATTAACTCTAATTTACAATATTTTTGAGGCCTATACTTACTTACATTCATGTATGTAATATTTTATATTTATGAATAATGAAGTATATGTTATATGTTAATGCCTTAACTAGTTAGCTTAATATTTGACAAACTCAAATTTGCTATCTATTAATCTATTTAATTTAACATAAGTTTAAAGGGTCAACAATAATGATTCATGAATCAACATCAACTCTCATCAAGCATCATCATTCATCAAATATTCAAATTCATCAAACGACAATTCGACAAACATCGTCAAATTCAAAGGGACAACAAGTCAACAATCAACATAAACACATAATCGTCATTTGTCAATCGACTAAAGTGCCCAATGATAATGTCTAAATTCAACACAAGTTCAAAGTCCAAACTTAAAAAATAAAATAGACAATCAACATAAACACAAGCTCATGCTCCTCCTCCGGTAGAACTTGTAGCACCACCAACATTTGCGCAACCTTTCTTCTTCAAAGTCATGAGAAGAGTATCATCGGGATCATCATCGTCATCTTGGTTCATGTCTTCGTCGGACTCGGTGGCTTCATCATCATCACTATCCTCCTCTTCCTCCTCCTCCTCCTTCTCCTCCTCGACCTCCTCCTCATCAACCCTAACAGGTAAGCTATGTGCTCCACTTGGGATGTCACTTGCAGTTTCCACTCGAGATTGGAAAGTATTAGTAACTAGTGCAAATAAAATACACAATTGTTAGTATGTTACAAATGGAATGGTTTAAAATTTAAATAGTAAAGAGTATAGAGAAATTAGAATAATAAATTGAATTCTTACCATTTTCATAATCGATTGTCTCTTGATCTTCTTCCTTATCATTCAGTTCATCTGCAGTCTTTCCACTTTCATATCTTATCCAATCTTCAGCACATATCAATGCCTTCACAATGTTTAGGCTTAAAGAGGACCTGAAAGGACTAAGAACTCGACCTCCACAACTGAAAGCGGACTCCGATGCAACAGAGGAGACTGGAACTGCTAATATATCCCTAACCATCTCTGAAAGAATGGGATATCTAACACTGTTCCGAGCCCACCACTTCAGAATGTCAAACTTCCGATCATCAATCTCCTCATTAATAGCATCACCAATATCTCTCAAATACTGCTCCAACTCACCAGAACCTCGACCCCCCCCCCTCTCAATTTGCTCCTTTCTCTTCTACTGGAACCGAGCTTCAAATGCTCCTCCCATATCAACAAATCCGTCATTAGTCTCAGTAGGAGCAGTAGTCTGGGTAGTAGGTACATAAAAAGAGGATGGAGTTGCATACTTCATCTTGTAGACATTGTACAATGCAATCATCTCCTTCTTTACTTCATCTGCCAAAGCTCCCCCTTTTGAGATCCCATACATTTCCTCCAACATCATAGTCAAATTGTCTAGCTTACGCCTGGGATCCAGCACACATGCCATGTAAACTATCCTTTTTATCCTAAGGTTCTCCTCCTCGTCAGCAACATCATTCTCAAACCAATACTTTCTCACCTTTTCCTCTATTCTCAATGCCATTCTTTGTATATGTCTATATGCATCTTTCTTCAATTTTGCTATCACTTCATGAATATCCACAATGGCTTTGTAGAAAGTATGTGCAGTGACATATGATGTTCCTGACACAAAGAAAAATTTACCGACATTAGTATAAATAATATAACTCATAACTCATAATCATTCAATTTAACTTTAAAATTTGAAAGTTATTAGTTCATATACCTGATACACGAAGAGTAAGCTCATAGAAGAACTTCAGGTACTTCATGAGCCGCCTAATACTGCTCCAATCATCTTCAGTTGGAAGACTCTTCTTTGAATCCACATACTCTCGAAAGGAAGAATCAGTAGGACTAGCATACATGATCGTAAAAACCTGCTGAAACCTCTCCGCGGAATCCAACATCAGATAGGTGGAATTTCACCTAGTCGGAACATCCAAAGACAACAGTCTTTTCCCATCCATATCTAGATACTCAATGCCTTTCTTGAACTTTGCCATCCGAGCTGGGGATGACTTCACCCATTTCACACAATCCCTTACCCTCTCCACAGCAACTCCAACCTCCTTCAATCCATCAGAAACAACCATATTGATGATATGTGCCACACATCTATACTGCAAATACTTCCCATCTAGCAAATCTGTTCCCACCCCTTCATTCTCATGCACTCAACAAGAACATCATTCGAACTGGCATTATCCATTGTCATGCAAAACAAACTCTTCACTTTCCATTCTTGTAAACACTTCTCCAAAGTATCTGCAATATCCTTCCCCGTGTGACTAGTAATGGTAACAAAGCAAATAATCCTCTTCTGCAACTTCCAATCATCTCCAATAAAATGTGCAGCCACACACATAAAATTATGGTTATTATCACTAGTCCATGGATCTGTAGTGATAGATATTCTTCCTTTGCACTTTGAGTTAAAAAAACTCAATCAATATTTCTTTCTTCTCCAGAAAAATGACAAAACAATCAGATCTTATTGTTTACCTTCCAGGTATCACAAACAAAGGCTAAGTTGTTGCCATAAATCTCCTAAACCCCTCCCGCTCAACAAATCTAAACGGAAGCTCATCCAAGATTATCATCATAGCTAATGCATGTCTAGATTTGTTCTGATAAAACTTCCATGGAGTAAGAGAGCCTACTGTTAGCGGATCCAGCCCATGTGTGCCACATGTCGAGGCCCATGCTGGTGCACATTGTATTGTTGGCCCTATTGTTTACGTAGTGTACGTACTAAACTAGGGTTTTTTCCTTTCTTGAAGTATGGCCGAGGTGAACTAGGGTGTATTGGCCATATATATATTCCTCCCATGTACAGCAGCCGATCATCAAGTAATATCGATCAGTAGTAGGAGAGTCTTGAGGCTCTCCCGTGGACTAGTCCTGAACCTTTCAGGGATACCACGTAAATCCGAGTCTTTCGTATTTCAATTTCATTTTCTAACATGGTATCAGAGCTTTCGTCCGGCGATTCTGATCGCCTCAGTATCCGTCTTGATCCGAAGAACTATGCGGTGTGGGAATTTCAATTCCGCATCTTTGTTGAAGGCAAGGGTCTTCTGCCGATCCTTGATGGTTCTCTTCCGCAACCACAGGTTCCCCCTGCTACTGAGCAGGAGCTGTCTCGCTGGGTGATGAATAACGCCAGGCTCAAATCTTGGATTCTGGGCGCAGTAGATCCATCTATACTGCTGGGTCTTCGTCTGTTTACGACCGCATCCGAGATGTGGTCTCATCTTGCCGCTACGTATGCTACCTCCAACACAGCTCGTCAGTTTGAGTTAGAAACCGAGCTGGCCGCACTGAAGCAAGGCGACATGGATGTCGCAGCCTACTACAATGCATCAGTTCGCCTCTGGACCGAGGAGGATCTTCTTCTCGCGTCCCTTCGATCCGCTGCTGTTTCTGAAGAAGTCCGTGCCGAACGCAACAAATCCCGCCTGCTGCGTTTTTTGATGAAACTCAGGCCAGAATATGAGGCCATTCGTTCCGCTTTGATCAACCGGGAAGACCTAAAATTCGATGGGGTCTTAGCACGTCTCATCCAAGAAGAGACACGCCTCCGTGTACAAGAGAAGTTTGATCTCCGACCTGGGGCAAGTGAAGCTGTGTTCTCTGCTGAAGTTCGACATGATGATGATCATCATGTGTATGCTGCCAATCGTCCCCAATTTCATCGCCGACCACCCGCCACTGAGCTGACCTGTGCATTTTGTGATGAAAAAGGACATGTTCAAAAGCATTGCAAAAAATGCAATTTTTGCGTCTATTGCAAGCGCTCGGGTCATATAATCAGCGAGTGCCGCACCCTTCAGCGCCGCCAGCAGTACTCGGCCACGTCCAGCCGATCCGACTCCACCCCCCCTCGTGCAGCACCTTCCTCCTTTGCTGTTCAGCCTGCCGAATCTGCTGCTGGGTCATCCTCCTTGTCCGCCGAAGCCGTCGAGAAGTTGATCAATTCGGCATTACAAAAGTCCCTTCCTGTAGCGATCAATTCGGCCTTTGCTGCTCTCCAAGTATCAGGTAAATCTAAACCATGGATGCTTGACTCTGCATGTTTCAATCACATGACCAGTGACTCCAAGTCCCTTTTTCGTATTACTCCTGTTAATAACCTGCAGCTACAAGTAGCAAATGGAGAACATATGTTAGTCAGAGGTCTTGGTGTCCTTAAGCAGCCCAATGTTCATTTAAATAATTTGCTTCATGTTCCTGATCTTCATCCGAATCTTGTTTCGGTCGGCCAATTGATTGATGATAATTGTTCCGTTTTGTTTGCACCATCTGGGTGCTTTGTTCAGGATCTGACGACGGGGAGGCAGATCGGAAGAGGGAGTAAATCAGGTCGTACCTTTATTCTGGAGGAGCTCTCGAGTCGAGGTTGTGAGTCGTCATCATCCTCTCAGGTGTCTAGTGTGTCTGGTTCGGTTTCCCCTTCGTGTCCTCTTAGTGCTTTTTCGAGTCAGTTAGACAGTCATTGGAGTCTTTGGCATAATCGTCTTGGTCACCCAAACTCTGGTCGGTTACAATTGATGTTCAAACAGCAGTTACTTGGCAATAAATCGGTTAATTGTTCCTCATTTCTCCCGTGCTCTAGTTGTGTTGAGGCGAAGGCCAAAAGTATTTCCTTTCCTTCCAGCCACACGGTTATAACCGAGCCATTCCATCTTGTGCATACTGATTTATGGGGACCCTCTCCCGTTACATCTCGAAATGGATACAAATACTTTGCTCTTTTTATAGACCATGCCACTCGTTATACCTGGGTCTATTTTCTTCATCAAAAGTCCGATTTGTATGATGTAGCGGTTGAGTTTTTAACTATGATCCGAACCCAGTTCAACAAAAATGTGAAAATTCTTCGTTCGGATCCTGGTGGGGAGTTTAGCTCGACTCCGTTGCTTGAGTACTATAAAACTCACGGGATTCTTTGCCAAACATCTTGCCCCGGAGTCTCGCAACAGAATGGCGTTGTTGAAAGAAAAAATCGCCATACTGTTGAGTTAACTCGAGCTCTTCTCCTCGCCTCCTCTGTTCCTACTCGTTTTTGGCCTGAAGCTGTCGCTACTGCTGTTCGTCTTATTAATTACCAAATCACTCATATTCTTCAAAATCGTAGTCCTTATTTTGCCCTTTATTCTTCCCATCCGCCTTACTCACGCCTTCGTGTGTTTGGTTGTCTGTGTTTTGTTCTTCTTCCCCGTCGTGAACGTCATAAATTGTCTTCTAAAACTGCTAGGTGTGTCTTCCTTGGTTACAGTGATATTCACAAAGGATATCTCTGTTTTGATCCCTCTCTTGGTCGGGTTAGAATAGCTTGTCATGTCGTTTTCTTTGAAGGTGTGATGTTTCATACCTCGTCCTCGTCCGAGTCCGTTTCTCACCTGTTCTCCTCGACTCATCTTCCCTCCTTTGGTGATGACCTGGATGATGATGATCTCCCTCCCGATCTTCCTCCTGACCAGCCGGCATCTCCCACTGCGTCGGATCCCGCCAGCCCAGCTACTTTCTCCTCTGGCTCGGCCCCATCTTCTCCTCCCAGTACAGTCTCGTCCGGCCCGGCCTCACCTCCTGCTTCGCCGACTCCACCTGTCCGTCGTCAATCCCGCCGCGCCAACTTTGGGCAGCCTCCAGCAAGGTTTGGTGATTACCTTGCTCATGCAGTTGACTCCATTCGGATCCCCACTCGTTATTCCCAGGCCAAGGGTGATCCTCTTTGGGACAAGGCCATGTCCGACGAGTTTGATGCGCTGGATGCAAACCATACATGGTCGATAGTGGATCGGCCTCCTCCTGAGGTTCCGGTTGTCGGTGGGTTTATAACCTGAAGTTTCTTCCGGATGGTAGTCTTGAGCGTCATAAGGCTCGAGTGGTCGCGCAGGGCTTCACTCAGGAGTACGGCGTGGATTTTGATGAGACATTCGCCCTGGTGGCAAAAATGCAGACTGTACGTACTTTGCTGTTCGCAATTGGCCTCTCTTTCAGCTCGACATTAAGAATGCCTTTCTCCACGGTGACTTAAAGGAGGTAGTGTATATGGAGATTCCTCCTGGTTATCCTAAGGGTTCCCCCGATTAGGTGTGTCTACTTCATAGGTCTCTCTATGGCTTGAAACAGGCCCCT